TGTTTCCGTATAAATTATTTGTTTGAACACATTGTTATTAACGATCGTTCTTCCAAAAATTAGCATACGTATCTATACAAACTTCAGGAATACACTTTTACATAAAGAAATATCAATCATTGAAGGAATATGTCAACTGAAGATCTTCGATAAAAAAACATACTCTGTTTGGTGTGTAGTATGAGAAAAACTTTTTGGCCCTATAATTTCTAAGAAGCAGTATCATTCATCTCGTTAAATTTTAGTTTGTACAATTTTTTTATAATTGTATTAATAATATTTTGTACGTATAAAATTGATTGTTTTTCACTCCACTTTCTTGACAAATAATTAAAGGTATTCAATATTATTAGATTTATTCTATAGAGAGGTAATTTTATTTGAAAATCAAGTAATAAGAATTTGTTCACTACTATTCAATACAAAATTTATTTTATTATGTCTGTATGTAGATAATATGTATTTATGTAAATCGATTTATTTTGTGTGTGCGTGTATAGTACTTTAGAGGAATAAAATATACAAAATTTAAATTGACTACCATGAAGCTATTTTAATTGTTGTCTAAGTGCGTAATACTTCTTTATAAAAATAATTGTTCTTAAGATATGCGAAGATAGGTATGCAAATTTTTAAAATACAGTCATTAACAATGTTTCAAGAAATGATTCATGAGGTAACGTTGATTTTGTAGCGCTATAAATGAGAAGAATCTCATTATGAAGAGTAAAATATTCCGAAAGAAAGAAAGTATATTCTAATAGGGATAAATTTTGAAAAAATAATTTCTTTGCATGGTCTAATCTTCGACGATCACTTGTACATTAAGTAAAAAGAGCAAAGGAATTATTTTAATTAGTTATTAATTTTTACTTATTTTACTCTTGAACAATATTTCCTCAAGCAATGACCGAGAATATGACTTTGCTGTAATATGTATTACACAGCGCAGACAGCGGTAGATGCTTTTTCTAAAAATATTCAAAATCATTAGTAACTAATAGGTAACTAGTTTGTGATTTCAGTCAGCAACCAATTATGTTTCTGTTGAGTAGCTTCTTGTGCGAACGGGCTAATAGTTTCCGAGATATTGGACCACATGAGTTTTCTACCACTGGATCGCTTAAATATCACAGTCTGGCACTGCGATTCAGCAGTTCCAAGAAGTGTTGGGGATAACCACGCAAGCCATTGATGGACGAGGCTAACAATTTTGGTCGCATGAGCAATTTGAGGTTCCATTCAGGATTCTAAGGATTCAGAAGAATTGAAAATTCCGAACTGGGATTCATAAACTAAGGGTCTTCCTCGTGCCACCTCTTCGCACAGGAGCACATGAACGAAACGTACAGAAAGTTAGCCCCTTGAATTAGGCAACCTGAACTCACAGTTCTGTCGGACTGGTTGCCTGATCGTAGGCGCAAACGTGCCACCTCTTCGCACATCATGTGCTCTTGATACCAAAATGCAAAATCGGCCAGAATTCCGAAATGTACCGAAAATTAGCCCCTTGAATTAGGCAACCTGTACTGACAGATATGTCTGACCGGTTATCTGTCCGTAGGCGCAAACGTGCCACCTCTTCGGACATCATGTGCTCCTGATACCAAAATGTATAATTTCATCAGAATTTCGATACGTACCATGAATTTCTCGTGCCACCTCCTCGCATATCATGTTCTCCTGATACCAGAATGTATAATTTCCTCAGAATTTCGATACGTACCTGGTATCCCTCGTGCTACCTCTTCGCATATCATGTTCTCTTGATAGCAAAATGTAAAATTTCCTCAGAATTTCGATACGTACCATGAATTTCTGGTGCCACCTCCTCGCAAAGCATGTTCTCCTGATACCAGAATGTAAAATTTGGCATGACTTTTAATTGAATACCGATACTTCTTGTATTAGCAGAACGTGTTGATCGAGAATGTATCATAATTTTTATTCTGGCTCGAAACTTACCTATTGTATCCGGATCTCGTGAACAGCCAAGAGATGTGTCAGGGAAAGGAGGGAAATTAATAGGAAACATTCTAGAAATTGAAGAGAAATAAAGGGAACTGTCTAGAGCCCTTAGGAGTTGTTAAGAGATATTAGGTGGGGTTAGCAGGTGTTAGGGGGTGTTTGGAGACGATAGAGAGTGTTTGAAGGTGTTAGAGGGTGGTAGGAGTTGTTAGTGTGTATTAGGAGCTGTCAGGAAGTGTAAAGGAGATGTTAGATTATGTTAGAAGGACGAGACGTGATTTCTACGATCTCGATCTTGATCTGAAAAAATATCGAAACATGCATATCGACGCCGAATTTTCGACAGTTCAAAATGTAAAAACATTCGCGGAATATATTACTAAAAAATTGAATATCAACACTTATAATACACAACTTTGTTTTATTAGAAACGATATACAATTTTTGCAGTTCTTAGATTATACGGGTTTAAGGATTCCATTTCGCACAGAATGCAAGTACATTACAAATAGGATAATTTTATGTAATGCAAGAAAACAAAATTTCAGAAAATACGTATTTCGTAGTTTGATCTGTAGTTTAAATATAGAAATTGTTGTGAAAATTGGCTAACATTTTGCAATGAAAATATATCAATGTTAATACATAATTTATACAAATGAATTTTTCTGAAAACTAATTATATTCCTGCTAATCTAAATCTATTCTCACTTTACACTTTACACTTTTCCACTTTACACTTTACACGTTTGCACTTTACACTTTGCACATTTTATATCTAAAGATCTTATTACAAGTTCGCAGCCATTAGTTCTCGGTATTATTCGCGACGAATGATTGTTTGTCACGAATAATACCGATTACCAGGTCTCACCACGTGGAGGTTGCTGCGACTGGAGACCCGGAGATAGAAGGAATCAAAGTTCCTTCGATCTCCCTCTATATAGAGTATACATACGTAGATGCATACTCTACGTAGAGCAACGAGCTTAATACTAAGTACGAAACCGTGGAAATCAAAGAAAACAAAGTCCCTTTGATTTCCAAAGTCTATGCCTGACTCTGCCAAATAATTATTTCAACTAAATGGAAGCTAAATGGAAATCGCGACACGACGCGACCATGTAACTGGACTTACAGAGTCAGTCCCGTTTCTTCTTGATGGATCTGACTCGAGAGGAAGACGACCGACGCCTCCGAATCAGTCCACTACTCCCCGCACCCCGTTGGGAGCCACTATAGGACCCAACTTGCATCCGTCTCACTGCGCTTTGGACTTACTGCACTGCGCCGGGAGCCTTGGACTACACTAAACGTGATGCAGGGAGTAGAGAACCGATCCGGAGGAGCCGATTGTCTTCCTCTCGAATACAGATCCACCAGGAGGACGGCAACCGACCTTTCTGTCCAGTTACACAGTTGGTCACTTCACTTATCACATGAAGTAATAGTGACCGAAGTGGAGAACGAAGTTGCGAGTCTAATATGGACCTACGAACAAACAAAAGAATTGAACAAATGACTAATAATTATTTGACAGAGGAAAGACACTCGTACATCCATGCCTTAAAACTAACTTACATACATGCCTTAAAATTAACTAAGATACATGCCTTAAAATTAACGACTAAAATAAGGTACCCACAAGCAACTACCAAGCAATACCAAGCAAAGGCTACAAGGAAGAATAGGATGGACGCGAGACGCGGACGCGCGATCGCGAGATCCATACCGACTGAAGGATCGTCGAAGAATGAGACCGCGCCCTTCGTATACCTGTGTCGAGGGTCGCGGCTCGCTATCGAAGAAGAGTCGGGCAAGGGCAAACAACAACCGCGTGACGGTCGCGTCGAAGGCTCATTGAATCCATAAAGACAATGTGTGCTCTTAAAACTTCCTTTGTCAATCTTGATACCTTAGATATTAATTCCTCATGTATCTTAAGTAATATTATTCAATTTATTTTGTAATATCTCACATAAATGTTTGTTAGATGTTGGACATTTTTCCCGAATTTTTCTATCTAAACGATTTCATAATTTCTCTGTGAAATTTAATACACTACTCAAAGCTTTAATATTGTTAAATGTTACAAAATACGCATCTGAAATAGAATTTAGCAACAAAAATTGTTCAGTAATAATTTATGATATATATTAGTTATTCGTTAGAAGTGGTAGGTGTTCCCGTATTTATGGATAGGGGTGTACGTAAATGATAGTGGCAACAACGTTGAATGTTACCGTGCAACTTCTCTACGTTCGGATTCAGATTTTAATTAATTATGCGGTTAATAGTTGTTATTTTTTTGTTTTTATATTGTTCACAATTTCGGTTTTTATAACGTATCAAATCTTCAGCAAGTTCCTATGTTGCATTTTTATTTAAATTGAAAACATTCACCTGAAAATCCGTATGTTCCATAAGGAACTGTATCATAATTACAAAATTTTGATATCGGTTTTCATAAAACTAGGGTGGACAATTTACATCGAAATAGGCTTATATGATTCATATTTAATCAAAGAACAATCAAGTGAAGTTTTGTTCAAATTCACCATTAAATAAATCCACGGAATAACCACTTTAAGGGAACTCCACTAACATAAATCCCTAATTGATCGATTAGTGCTATTTTAGATCTCGAAAATCATGGGACGTGTAAGACTCATTCGTTCCTAAAGGGTTAATGTTCTGAGATCTCTAAGGTACGAAATCCTCATCAACTCTATCAATATCTGCAAATAGTTAATTCCACAAAACAATTCCCAACCATCCCTACCATCAACGTTTTCTTGCTCTGTCGCGTAGATCTCGACCTCCCTCTTCACCCCAGTCCATTAATCATCCGTAGATTTCTCAATAGAAGAGGCGCTTAGTTTCGTGCAATTCTGCACAGATTCCGAACGCGTCGTTGCGCAAAGCAGTCTCAGCAGGGTCGAACCGTTCCGACTCTCAACTTCCTACGCGTATAAATACGAGTCCGAGCGACCATTCGCGAGGGTAAGGCTGCCTCGTTTGCTCGCCGTCTATTTTCGACGAGAACAGGAAGACCGTCCGGCTCCTCCATTCGGCTGTCGGCGAACGTACTCGCGCATGCTCTTCGGGCCGTGGAACGCCTCACGAATAACGCTCTCGTATTCGTCGTAAATACGAATGCCGAATGCTGGCCACCGAAAATAATCACGCGAGGACGCCGAAACGATTTCGGACCACTTCTTCCGCGACTCTCCCTCGGAGTCGCCGGCCGTGAAAAATGCATTCCGCGCGCGAATCGCTGAGATATTCGCCATAGAATCCGCTACCGACATCCTCACACGCGATCACGTTAACAGTACAAGTGTCGTTACCGAACCACTGTCGAGGAAGCTCAGTATTCGCCAGTTTTCGCGTAGCGTCGAAAGGTGAACCGAGATCGACGATGAGAAAGTGCTGCGACGAGTTCCTCGGTGTCGTTCGCAGTTTGCCTGGATTCAGAGGGATTGGATTCGAAAACTGAGGGCGTTGTCTCCGTACCAACGGTTCCTGATGAGCAAAACAAGCGTCGCAGGTCTGGGATGACCCACACGCGAAACGTTCCCGAGTGAAATTCCTGGCAGTCGTCATCGAGGAGGAATCTCCGCGCAGCGACTGGGCCAGCGCGTATTACGCCTATGATTTCCACGGTAAAAGTTACTCTAAAATTAGATTACTTCGATACACCGAGAGTATTGGCCCCGATCGACAAACTGGTGAATGAAAGAGTGTAAGAGCGCGCGATGGCTGACGAGGAGAAAGTCGACCGCGTCAGGCAGGAGCTGGAGAGAAAGATCGACCGACAGGTTCGTCGAGAGCGAAAGATGGCGACCAGGACGAAAGAGAAGGTGGACGATAGCCACCTACCCACGCCTCCGCCGGATCCGTGGAGGAATCCTTGGTGTCAAACGCAAGGAGGAGCCCTCGGTCGCAGCCAGCCGGAAATGACGCAGACGCGCAGCCTCGAGGAGGACGAGGACATACTGGCGTACTTGACGGATTTAGGGACGCCTTTCGAGGGCCAAACCTCGGAGTGTCCTTCGAGGAATTCCACGGCGTCCACGATGGCAGTTTCCAATCTCTGCTTGGAGGAGTCCTTCGATCACCTGAATCGTCTCTACGCTCTCACGGAGCAGATCCTCGAGTTGAAGTATCGCAGCACCAAGTTCTTCAAGCGAGTGAGGAACCTCGAGAAGCTCAAAGTCCTGCGAAACGCTGATCGCATCCTGGAGGACGCTTTCGCGAGGGACGCCGTGCCTGAGAGTGACTTCTGCGACGAGGACACGGGATTCGCCGAGTCCTTGTTGGACGCCATGTTGTCCAATTGCAGGGATCCGCAGTTTCAAAGGCGGAACATGCGTTCTCCTCCGTCGAGAAGAACGAGGAATAAGGTTGACGTTGAGAAGCAGACGTTTGGAGATGAGGTTTCGAAGGGTGGGCCGAAGGTGTCCAAATGGACTAGAGTTAAGGCTGCTTTTAAATGGGAAAGAGCGTGCACGAACGATCTCGTGGAGGACGCTTCGACGACCATGACGACACCGATGACGCCGTTGTCTCCGACGCCCAAGTATCTGCGAATTCCAGACAACGATGGCAACCTGACCAGCACCAGCGCCTCTTCTTGCACTGATATCATTCCGGACTCGACTGGCTTCTACGATCGAACATCCTCGGCATCTTTGTCCAACGAACGATCCTACGACTGTACGAAATCTATGTTGATCTTGGCACTGTTGGGGTGCTCTCAATTGTTTGTTTGTTAGGGTAATGGACCGGTTTGGTTAACCAAAGTATCTTTCCAGGTTCCCCTAAAAGTGCTTCGAATCATTTTGAGTATCCGTCTTCGAAAGCTAAAGAGGATAAGAAAGAGCAGTGTATGAGTCGACGTAGCCAGTCTCTCGATGGCGATATGATTGCTATGGATACGGAACGAGTCAACGACATGAGCCGAATTAACGAGGTGAAGGAGCTTTTGTTGATTGTGGTTCAATTTAAAATGCGATGCTTTCGTAAAAAGGAATGCTTTCACAAAATATTAACTTTTTTAGTATTTCTGATAAACCGTTTCAGTAAGAATTTTTTAAATGTAATATGGTGGGCACGGATCCCCTTCCTATCGAAATTATGAGTTAATCGATTGTATTCCTTGATAACCGCATTCCCTTGTATCGCATGACTTTATAAATTAATCAATTAACTTTCAAGTCATTCATTTTTTGGCGTATAACATGTAATTTAATCTGTATTTAACGTACGCACGTGTAGTTGCAAAATTGTAATTTTTATTCCAGTATATTTTGCATTGCATATTTATCTACAATTTTTATATAATACTTCAGAATTAATTTTAATTTTTATAATCAAAAGAATTGTTAGTTAGCTAAACTCAACCAAAAGACGCGTTTAATAATAAGTTCTAAAACAGATAATATTGTCTAATGGCGTATTTTCGAGAAAGTTATTTCGGCAACTTTAAAGTGGACATTATTTTTTTTAAACAACTTACTTTGTCGAGATGTGCCCGATCAACGCTAGACGCGAGAAAATTAATAGGGTCCTTCGTATCTCATGATATATGAATGTGCGAGTGGCGATTTAAAAATATCCTCAACTATACACGCGCACTACTGCCACGCCTAGTGAATTTTTTCGATCGTTCGTACAGTATGGATGTATGTAATTAGTAGCTGGCCTACACTCTGCTTCGATTCCAACTATTTTTGTCCCGTCTATTGTTTATATTTGTTTGAAACACTTCATCATCAAACCAAATAGTGGTAAAATTACATTTTAACGTTGTGATTCATGTAAATCAATTGTATCGTGAAAGAACTATAGTTAGAATTATTAATACTCGATCGAAGTATGTTTCGATCGTTCTAAAAATTATGAACAGTGGGAGAGAAAGATTGATAGATAGCAATAAAAACTGATGGAAAAAGTTATATAGATCACCCTGCATTAATATTGAATGGAAATATTCAAAAGTTAAATTTGTGGGACAATAAGAGACCAAGATTTATAAACATTAATCGAAAATATTGAAAATTAGTGCCTTCATCAGAGAGATATTACATTATTTGAAATTCAAGATAGCACTTATACATGAAATCGTATTATGTTTCCATGAATTAGGCGTAAAAGATACTTTTCGTTATTTTGGTACACTAAAATGCCAACCTTCTAAGTTCTTAACCTGATGGAAATTACAGTACATCTACACGAACTTTAGTAGCCATGAAATTTTGCTTATAATTATAGTCTTTCAATTATTATAATTATCAAGTACACTTGTAATCTCTTAAAAATAACAACAATAAGCAACATTTTTTAACTAATATAAATGTATATTCTAATGGCCATCAGGTTAAGACTTAGGTTATCTGCCTATATAGATTCATTGTAGGTGAATTCTTGCAAGATTGCTATTTTAACGTAACAAAATGACAAGTATTTCTTCTTAAACCATAGTTATAAATAGTTGAATTTAAAGGCATAGAATTAATTTCTACACATTCCTTTGAAGCAATTACATATAAAATACACTGTGCAAAACATGTTGAAATAAAAATAATTATTTCTGAAGAATTATATAAAGATAAATATGCAATGTAAGATATATTGAAATAAAAATTTTAGTAGTTTTCTATAACTGTACGTGTGTACGTAAAATACAACTTAAAACACATTCCTAATTTCTATTTCTTATATAAATTCTCACCTAAATTTCAATGTTGTAATATATGAACTTTTAAACTTGTTTAGATAACAATATTTTAGAATACGTAATGTAACTCGCATTTTTTAAGTGTCGAATCTTTCACGGAGTGTTGGAATACTTTCATGGATCACTGTATACAAGGTATTTTTTAATATGTAGCCATTTTTGGTGGATAAGGTCCTGACACGTGCGAATAGAACAGTTCTTTACCAATTTGCGAACTATGGCCTCGTTAGCGAGATATAAACAGTTTTACAAGTGTAAGCAAATTTACAGATGTGACTTCCGGCGCGAGCAGTTTGAATCCCTGTCAGCTGTTCGCGCGGCCACAACATGTACAGAAGAAACACTCACCAAAGCACAATTATTGTTGGAAAATGACCTAGGAACCTGCAAAACAATTTAGCGCAGGTAGAGGGAGGTCATTGTCATCTAGTTTTCATAGATTGGGCCAATGATCTCGTACTGCCTGGCCTATAGATTCCCAGGTCGTTTTCAAGCAGCGAGCGTGAATCGGTGTGTATTTTTCCTGGGCGAGCGCGTACATGCGCGGACGCGCGAATAGCTGATCTAAAACATTGTTATTTAAACAGAATTTATATTAGAGAATTTATATTAGAAATAGAAATTAGGAATGTGTTTTAATCTGTATTTTACGTACACACGTACAGTTATAGAAAACTACTAAAATTTTTACTTCAATATATTTTACATTGCATATTTATCTACAATCTTTATATATTTCTTCAGAAGTAATTTTCATTTTTATTTCAACATGTTCTGCACGGTGTATTTTATATGTAATTGCTTCAAAAGAATGTGTAGAAATTAATTCTATGCCTTTAATATCAACTATTTATAACTGTAGACTAAGTAGAAATACTTACTTGTCATTTTATTACATTACAATATCAATCTTCCAAGAATTCATCTACAATGAATCTATATAAGAAACATCCTGTAGAATCGCTTATTTATGAATCGATCTGTAATCGAAATTCTATTTGGAATTATTAGGTCAGCCAAGAAACACCGTTGATTCGAATCACATCGGAGAAGAGTCAGACGGTGAATTCTCTGGACGGAATGGACGAACCAGAGCAAACATTGAAAAGACCTACTCCATCCCTAACGATAACGATACCTTCAAACGAGGAAGAAATGAGGTGCATGTCCTCTCCAGAGTCTTACTCGCCGCTTCCGTCCAGTGCGCACACTTCTGGCGGGAATTCCCCGCAACCAAAGAAAATACATAGAGAACTCTTTACCAGTAAAGGCTTCAAACGACAGGTTAACACTATTTCCATTTTCTATGTAGTTGATTACGAATTTAAATTACTTGGATGACATAACAATGTCTCTCGAACTTGACCTATTCGTATACCCCTCACCTTCCCAGTTTTCTAAGGGTACATACAATTAACCCTTGTCGGACGTATTAAAGTTGGTCATGGGTCTCGTACTGGTCGGAATTAATTCAGATGGTTTCTTGTTGCGGTGGCTGAGAGCAGACATACGACCGGAACGGTAAAAAGGCTTTGGTGGCTGAGAGTAGACATACGACCGCAAAGGGTTAAGGTTTCATGTGAAAATTAATTAAATCAATTAACTCCTCGATCACATTCTCTTTTTAATTACAGGTAATATTGAAAATAAAAATGTTGTTTGATTTTATTGTAGCAATCAAACGACGAAGAATTCATGAGCCTATCGTCGAAAATGCAGAGACAAGACTCCAAGTGGAACAAGGTTAGGCGAGCCTTCCTGACGAACTCTTCCCTCAGCGTGCCACCGAGTCCTATCAGGGTTTTCTCCAGGCAAATGTTTGACCACCAAGACGGTAAATTAAAAAACCTTTTATTTATTATCCTCCCTATTTGGTAGTCTTGACTCTCATTCATTATCCTTTTGAAGCTAATTCATTATTGCTTCGATATCATCCATCGTTTTATCTCTTTATTTTTTTTTAATCAAGGTTTGGAATTTTTCTAAAAATGTCTGTTTCAAACTGTTGTATAAAGTAAACAAATATTAAAAAGTACTTTTTTGGAGCAACCATTACAGGAAAACAATAAAATGAGCGCATCGATTTCGCTTATTGTTCTAACGTTCTGTAATGGTATTTGTTTAGGCTACATATGGTATTAATCTAAAACTTGCTTTTATCAATTTTTTAAAATAAGTAAATTTATACATTTTGTTAATCTATATTTGTAGAAATGCATTTAATTTATTCTATTATCTATTAGTTTACTTGCCATTTAGACGCTTGAAATAATTTTTCTTTTTGATAATCTTTAACTGCCATTTAATCTCCTAAACTTCTTTTTATTTTCGATAATCTTCTTTTTTAATTGTCATTTAGTCACTTGAAGTTATTTTCATTATGCATAGTTCACGACGTGAACTTCACGTCTTTACTTGCCAATTAGTTACTAAATAATTTTTATTTTTTCTCGCTTGGCATTCAGACCCTTTAAATTACTTTTATTTCGCATACTTCACGTTAAACCTGTACCGTCCGAAAGAATACAAAGTTAGAATTAACAACACTCGCGCACGAATAATAGTACAATACTTCCTAATTGCTACCAGGATCAATCACAGTCGCCACTTTCGATTCATGTTTTTAGCAGCGTGGATGCATTTGTCCAAGTGTTCCAAGAACGCTTTATTTTTCTCACGGTGCGTTTTCGTAACTTCCACCGCCATTGAATTTTGATATGCTAAAATATCGCGTGCGTACGTCTCGATTTTCTTTAACCTGACACGAGCGTTCTCAAACGCCACGTCTAGTATATCCCTCGCATAATCGCCGTTCTCTTGGGAGAATTTGGCCAACGTCTGATGGTTCTCACACTTGCGACAGGAAGACATCAAAGATTCAGCGCTGTCGATGCAGATCTGGAGATCGCGTTCCAGTTGGTTCAGCATCTCCTTAACCCTCGCAATTTTTGGACCAATGTTGCACTGCAGCCTCTGAAAATCTTGTAAAGCTTCATAATTGAGGAACATCGCAGACTTTCGTTGCAAAGAAACGAAAGAAGGATCCAAAATGCTCAATTCTGCAAGTTTCTTCTCGATGCCTTGACGAAATTCTTGCAGATGCGCCTTTTCGGTATTTTTGGCTATTTCCACAGCCTCGTTGAGCTCGTCTAAAACAGACTTCGAACCATTTCGAACTTCCTTCAACATCGAGTCTGCTCGATTCGCTAGGTTCTTGCATATCTTTTCATAACTTTCTACGACAGCTTCTGCTTTACACTGGAATTAATGAAAGTGAATTAATTAGTTTGTCTTGCAATGATTGAGTCATATATCGTGTTACGGTGCGAGTCAATATTCTTGAAAAATGGAGTTTGAAGAGATTTAACCTTGAGTTCTGAATTAATTCTACGACATTGTTACGCCATTTGACATTTACTTCTTCCGTTAGAATTTTAATACTGTGCGCGAAATCATCATGAATTGTTTAAATAAAAATGAAATTTAATATATTTAACGCTTACGTAACGTAATTTCCAAAAAAAAACAAGATATCGTTAGGTTACAATGTCGCAGAGTTAATTTATTTCTCATAGTTAAGTCATCCACAAAATATTTATTTATTCGAATTCACCACGGCAAACAACATCGGATATATTTTTGAGAATTTAGGCCATTGGTTCGTCCTTCAATTCAACGCAACAGAGGAAGATGGAATGATACGATGAAACACGAATTAGATTTCTCACTTTTGGCGCAGGTTTTGGGAACAGCGTTTTGCAACACAGGAACGCGTGGGATGGTTTCGGACATTGGACGAGTTTGTCTTTATATTCCTTGCATTTCGATGATGTTATCGCTTCCTTGACAGCTTGGAATTTTTTACCTGACACTTTGCCATTGGTATGATTGCGCGAGAGGAGCCTGGAAACGATATTACCAATTCTTCGAGTCGAGGGAACGACAAATTTTGAAGCGAACATGCCAAATAAACGATACGAATAAGAATTAATCGACTTATCGATTTGGACCGCGATAGGCAAATTTGGTAACTATAGTATTTTTAATATACAGGGTGCGAGCGAATAACATCCTTACATAGACATATGATAATATAGACCGAGCCTTTATACGAGGGATAACAGATAATCAGTGATCCTCAATTTGTTTTTTCTAAAAATTGAAACTAATATTAACCATTCTGTAACACTATTTTGGTTATTTAATATATTCTAGTTATTATTATGCACATACAAGAATATATTAAATAACCAAAATAGTTTAAGTCTCGTTAAGTCAATGTAATAAGTCTCGAGTTGTTGGTAGATGCCAGAAAAAAAGGCCTCGAGTGGAAAGGGTTAATCAATTTTAGGGGAAGAAATAATTAACCAACATTTCTACATATTTTTAGAGTAAAATTTGCGTGAATTAAAATTTACTATTTATAACGTTAACCTCTTATTTCTTTTCTTATTAATTTTATTTTAAATTGGTTGCCGTACAAATACTTCTTATACTGACCATACATGTTATATAATTTAATTAAATTCCATTACCAATGTAGTTTCCCTCCTTGTCAGTAACTGTTTCGACCCTATTGTGATACTCTTCAGATACAATTAGAGAACTCGTTCATTTCTGCAAATATGATTAAATATCTGAGTTGAAAATCTGCAACTAAAAGAAAATGTTATGGATACATTTTAATAATAATAATAATATTTGTCTCGTAAAAATTGAGAAGACCTTTTGGTAATTACCTTCAGGACTTGATAACGTGTAATTCTCTCATTTATCCCGAGAATTGCCAGGCTTTGAGATCAAAGTTCCCACCATCGTGAAATCTTGAAGACCGCCACAGTCAGTTTCCCAATTTCCCAACATCCGGTCCGCAAACAAATATTTTCACTGTTACTTGAGCAGCATTTACACCTCTGCTAAAAGCGCACAATGGTCCCACGTGCGCCCCGTCAATGTTCATTGTTAGGTATTCAAAACATTGACTGGTTTGTTCGAACCGTTCTTCGGATGACTAAAAATACAAAACTCATGGGCACACAAGATTGGACACGGTTAAATAGCCATGAGCGAGAATAAATACTCTCAAAGTGCGTCACAAAGCGCCTCTTTGAAAGACGCAAAACTTTTTGAACTACTAGATGTCTCCGCAGTTCTTTTAATTAATATCGGTTGACAGAGTCACGATATTCTCGCGAAAATGTAACACGCTCCGCGGTTCTTTATCCTGCTCTAAATCTATCATCCCTTGATATGATACGTGATACATGAATATGGAGCATCGGATCATCAGGGACATCCGAACTTAAACTTTATCTCATTGGAAAATACGATAGTCTTCCATTCTTGACCCCATTGCATATGTTCTTCGCGGAACTGCAAACGCACGAGTCGATGATGCTCTTCTAAATTCGGCTTCCTCTTCAGCTTACGCTGTTGCGGGACTGGGTGCACTGTTGATAATTCGTTGCATAGTTCTGCGAGGGTGATTCAAATATAAGCGAGAAATTCTTTAATCGACGTACTGGAGGAATATTTTCACGGACAGGACTTTCTAAATCAATGTATTGGAAACCTGACTTTTTTAAATCAATTTACTCGACAAATAATATGACAAATTAATAAGGAGGTTTTTTTCTGTATAATGTATATATTGTCCGCTACCTCTATAGGATTTTTAATGATATCGACGTTAAAAAGGTGGTTATGGAATAGTGGAGTTAAAGTATGAACAGACTCCGTATATCTATGCAATTATTACAAGTGGAAAAAAAACTTGTACGTCAAATACGGTAAAATGCCACTTTGAACTGCTCATAACTTCTGAACTAGTGGATTCCTCGCCTTAAAACTAGCATTTCCGGATTTTTCTCGACGAAATCTACAGGATTGTGTAAAAGAAACTTGAAAATTTTCCACCTTAAAAATAGGTCCGCCAAAGTAAAGTGCAGCGCAACATTGATATTTCAAAACATATTTTGTAATTTTCATCTTCGCCCTAATTTTACGATGTCCATCTTCAGAATTTTATTACTTGCGCCAGTACTAGAAACGTCAAACATCTCCCAATCGCAAATGTTTCAATAAAAGCATAGAAATAGATAGGGTACCGCGAATTGTTTTCTCTTTCCAACGGTGAGACATTTCCATTTATAACCAGGCCTATGTCTATCCCTGCTCTATCTATAATATCTCTATCGTTTTTCAAATATTTCAGGTCAAGAAGCCCACGCAGCTTATAGTTGCAGTGGCAGTGTGGACGACCTCGAGCAAACCGCAAACCTAAACCCTCAAACGGACACTCGTCGCGATTACCGTGCTCTTAAAGAAAAGCTGGGCGCCGAGTTCCACCGAAAGCTCGTCGAGTGGGAGCGTTTAAAAAACATGTCGTCTCGGGTGTCGTCGAAAGACACTCGCGAGACGTCATCCGGTTCACTGAATCCTCGAGAAAGCTTGCTGTCCGAGGAAAGACTGGCGCCCGAATTTCGAAAGAAGCTGCAAGAGTGGAAACGAGCTAAAAAGGAACGCAGGGGAAGCGCTCCGTTCGAGCAACAGAGATTCACTCGACGTCGTCTCACCGATTGGCAGCTTTGGCGATCCCCCTCGAAGACCGATTACAGAAATCGGGATAGTCCGCGTGGCAATTATAGCAGCGGGGAAAGCATCGGTAGCGGAGGAAGGCCTCACCTTTCGGAGGATTTCGTTCGTAAAATGGAGGCCTGGAAGAGAGCTAACGAAATTGGCAGTCGCGATGTTGAAACTTCGACGAGGTCCAACTCCAATCGACTTGGGATAGTGTCGGGGATAGACGAAAGCGAGTTCTTGGCTTTGGAGAGGTTGTTATCGCGTTTCGATAATGGCCTCAGCAAGGATAGAAGGGAGAGCAACGCTCGGCAATTGGACGAATGCTTCGATGGAGACACTAGGTAGGCTGAAGGAAAGAAATCTGATGTTTTGGACACTGTGGTTTGTGCAAGATGAATTAGGGGTTGAAATAGTGGGATTGTAAATATTGTGATGTTGGAAGTCAAAGGAACTTTAGTTTGGATTATTGGGAGTAATATATTCTTTCTTATTAATTTGAAGAGACATTCTTCAACGGGTTTCTAAACTTACGATGAAATATTTAACCTTCACGTATCTATCTAGAAGGTCCATCTATTGCATGTAATAATCAAAGAAATGTTGAAAAGTTTGAGGAGGCACTCTTGAAGAGGTCCCAAACTTTATCTAAGACATTGAACTTTCATCTATTTATCTAGAAATTCCAATCTATGTATGTACTCCATTTAATAACCAAAGGGATGTTGAAGATGTTGAAAAGAACACTCTTGAACAGGTCTCAAACCTTATCAAAAACATTCAACTTCCATCAATTTATCTAGAAGTTCGAATGTGTCTATTCCATATAATAACTAAAGAAATGTTTATTGCATTATTAAACAAGACATCATAGTAGTATCGAAGAATCTGACCAATGTATAAAGGATAAGTATTTAGAGGATATAACCAGAAATGTTCTCTCTGACAAAATTAATAAACAACAATCTAAAGTGAAATAATTTCACAAAGACAACTAATCTTGAAATAATAGAAGCTCAACTGTGACTTGTCAAGAAGTTATACTAAACTGCTGGCCATGTTAATAGTTCTTATTTGATTTTCAGATCGTACATCGACGGAGCGCAAGGTTTGAAGTACGCCAACGAAGTTCTGGTTCGAACATCCGTTGGCTCTTATCGATTCGAAGGCATCTCGCGGGAATTCACACAAAAGCTCTACGACTGGGAAAGATATCGAGGAATTTCACCAAGATCATCGACCTTCCGTCTCCTGGGGCCTGCTTATGATCCGTTTTTAACGGAAACGAATACCGAAGCACCAATATCAACTACAACGAGTAAGATTACTCTACGTCGAGCTTTGGCAAATTTTATTCTGAATAAAGATTAAAAATCTCTCGTTTATTTATAATTATGGGAATAAAGACAAGCGAATCCTTGAATAGTTCTTGTTTCACGGACAGATCAAGGTTCATTCAGGATAAGTCCGTTCAGGATAAGAAGCTGAGGAATTCATCTGTTTTCATTCTCGGGAATGAATCTGGAATTTGTATTCTTTCTTCGAAATAAAATTTGACCAATTTCGCAAAACGTTCGAAAGAAAGAGTCACGTTAATCGAGCAATTAATTGTTCAGAAATTGGATGCGACGAAGGGGAATCGTTCAAAGGAAGCCCTTTGAAGAGATCAAAATCTGCAGGCAGCCTGACGTCAGGGGCCATTTTGAACGAAGCTTTCATACGTCGTTCGACCAGCTTGCAATCATTGGATTACCTCGCTAATGCACTGAAAAATTCCGATAGCATGAACACTTCACCGATATCGAGTGAGTATCAATAAGTAACATCTAATAAAGGATAATCTATCTTGATATACGTAAGTGAAATTTAACACTTTTCCTTTCATTATTACTGAAATAAGTTTCTTACAATTGAAGAGGCATACAAAATCACAAAGCCACAATTTATGTAATAGTAAAGGACAGGTATAATGCATAAAGAATTTTTGTTTGGAAATTAGAAATTGTTCTTTCACGAAAAAGTTCTGCTACACTTTTTTATGGTCAGCTTGCTTTTTCTTTCAGAAACTATTAAAGCTGTTAGCTTTCTTATTTGATCATTTACTTATTTAAAAAAGATAATTCTCTGCTTCACTTCGATTGAAAACAAACTTATCTGCGGACATTTATGCATTTATAACAAATGTAAAGATACAAAAATATACGAGGATGTGTAGAAATGCATAAATATTAAATATGTTTAATATAGAAAATATAATACATGTTACAACATTTAGAAGACGAAACATACTTTAAGTTACTTTTCTGTTCTTCATCTGTTTATAGAAAAATATGAATATGCATAAACATCCGCAATCTACTTATCACCTTACCTTAAGCCGGTGATTGACTTGCAACAGAACGCTGTAACGTAACTGCTCGGCACGAATTTTACTGTTCGGCACCAATGTTACATTACAAGGTCGTTTTTGGAATCACGAATGCTCGCTTCGAACTCTCGGCTGAGTTCTCTCTCAATGCTTCCTACTTGATTCAGTGAAAAGTAGACGATAAAAGAGGTTCGTCAAAAAACCGACAGACCAGTGGAGCACGGTCTTGCAATGTTCTGTTGCAAGTCAGTCGCCGGCTTAAGACACCTTTGATTCCTTTCAAAATTCTTTTCCAATTTCAAGTCGACCGCCAACGGGCCGACGAGGCAACAGAGGACATCGTCATGGACGACTCCGAGCCAGAGGCTATGATAGTCGACATCGAGGACGTCATCGAGGAAACTGCGAGTCCCTTGGAGAGAGTGCAACCTCACCAAACACCCGTGTACTCGGTTGCAGCCAGTGAAACAACCAGCATCGCCGTACCCCTTGGCACAGTCACCTCCAGCCACGAACCATCCCCAGTGTTCCTAGTAGAAGTCGAAGAAGCTTCGAATCGAAAACAAAGAAAATCCAAAAGACTGAACAGGAGGAACAGTTGCTCCAGCGAAGACAATCCAACCACAGAACATGTCCAAGTGAGAAAAATTAGAAACGATCACACCAATAGCTTCAGCCAGGACGACGCTGACTCGGAATGTTGGTCCACTTCCGGATCCCTAGGGAGGAAAAAGTATTCTATAAGTGACAGTTTCGACTATGATCGAGATTTAGACAAAGATTCTATTAACTCGGACAGTTCGCTGTGCTCGATGGAGTTGAACCAGAAATCCAAACTGTTGGTGGCATCAACGAAAATGGTAGACGAAGAGGGTGCAGATGTCGAGAGGTATATGAAACACGAGTGTAATTAAATGGCGGACTAAAGAAAGTTTGAAAGGTTAGGAATTGGAAAGAGAATGCTATACTTCACAAATTGAGAGTATACGGAGAGTGAGTCTTCTAAGTTTTGTACCTAAAATACCTTGCTTTTCTGATACGGGGACATAGAAAAATATAACGTAGATAAAAAAAAACTGTCTCAAGGTGATATACAGGATGTTTATTTGAAGTGAGTACAGCAGGATATCTCGGAAGATGTTGTATTTATTAAAAATCTGTTCCTACAAAAGTTGTTTGGTATTATGGGCTACATTATGTAATAAAATTTATTTCTTGTGGGTGGAGTAATAGAGGAGATCTGGAGGTCAATTGAATTTTCTAAATGGAATTACTTTTTATACAAGAATATGGTAGAGTATCGAATTCTAAATAAAATTGACCTTTATTAGTCCTTTAAGAAAATTTTCAAGTAATAAAGTGAAATTACTCGTTACCTATTAGGTTTAGGGTGAATAAGGATCAATACTTTTTTACTTAGATATTCGATACTCTACCATATTCTTGTATAAAAAAAATATAGCATTCCATTTTAAAAAATTAGATTGACCTCCGGATCTCCTCTATTACTCCACCCACAAGAAAACAATTATTATTACATAATGTAGCCCATCATACCAAACAACTGTTGTAGGAACAGATTTGTAATAACTACAACATCTTCCGAGACATCCTACAGTACTCACTTAAAACAAACACCCTGTATTACGAGATCTCAAGACCATTGAATTTTTCTTTAATGGAATGAGAATTATTTAAAGGAATTATTTCGAAGGGACGTTTCCACCCTAAAAACCGTTTTTGGACCAAAATAGAAAAGAGGACTGTGCTTAGGTTCCCATAAACATTATTTCTGCAAGAATTACAATTTTTCGGCGTGTATCAATTGTCGAACTTTCTTTGTTAGAAGGATGATAATTTAATGTTCCAAAATGACTAGTAAGCACATTCGTTTAAACTAGCGTTATAAATAATTGACTAACAGTAAGGCACAGAATTAATTTCTACACCTAATACAAAATGCCAATTTTGAATTTTCTTTTGTCCGTCCCCTGTACGTTGAAAAAAGGCAGCTATACCTTCGTAGACTTGCACGTTTTCAGGGAAGAGATTTCCACGATAATATTCGACGAGGGAAACGCGATCGACACGACCATGGACGAGCGCAAGGCCGATGGTAAGTTCGAGACTGCAAGTGTCCTGAAATCATAAACGGAAATCAAATGAAGAATTTCTTATTTTACACATTAGGAGCGGACGAAAGCAAAACTATACATAGAGGGAATCTTGGAAATCACTATGCTTTTGCTACGAGCACAAAAGAGTCGACGGTAGATTTTTATATAAATTTCGTATTATACTGCTCCTGTTAACGATAACTATTTCTGGAACGCGTTTGTCTTCCTAGCTTCTAACAATCGGATCTGTTTGATTTCGCGTCGGTGAAATTTTTCCCAATGAAGTACGATGCTTTGTTTCTTTCTCTTTTCTTTTTTGTCTTTTTTTTTCTTGTCTCCACGCGGTTTTTGGCAACACTCGAAACTTGCTTTTCGGGGAGAGACCGAGAACAGAGAGTAAAAAACGAAAGAAAAACATTTCCTTCAGAAATAAGTTTTACTGTAGCGAAATCAAAATTAGCAACCTGTCGGTACAACCAGGACTTATCCAGCGAGAAGAGCAACCAGGAAGAACGCCAGGACGAAAGGGCCGCAGGAGATGGAAGCAGCGACCACGAAAAGGACTCCGTCGAACCTAAAAAGAAACATGAAAATGAGTACGAGATTATAAACGTCGTCGATCCTTGTTGCTGCCTTTTGGCAGATACAAATCCAGCGACGTGCTCGAAGAAATTCACTGCGGACACTTCAACGGAATCGTCGTCCAGTTATAAATTAGGTAACTAAGAATATTAGATTTTTATTCGATATTTTATTTGTAGATTTTTTATAGACATCAATTTTGTTACGAATTGAAATTATTGTTAGATGTGATTTTTTGATAAAATCATTGTTAGAAATTCTGTATTTTTATTCGATTTTTTTTATAGGGTTTTGATAGATATCGATTTTTTGATAGAATTAAATTATTATTAGAAATTCTATATTTTTATTGGATTTACGTATAGATTTCTTAAACATTAATTTTTCCATGGAACTAAATTAATGTAGATTTTTAATTGCAAGTGGATTGGGATGCAAAGTCCAATTGATTACACGATTATATTTATATTCAGTAAAATAAACATGAGATTGGATAGAGTGCCTTTACGAGAATTAAAATTTACATCTTCTGCTTCGTTGAATAAATAAAACAGACCGTGTTTTATTCTGTTATCGAAGTAGTTGTATCTATATATGTGTACAAACGAAGTGGATTATATTTCATAGTATTAGTGAAATTGATTATATTACCAGGTAAAAACTATCACACATTGTAACTACTAAAATTCACCATTTTCAGATAAAAATAAGTGCACCTCGTTCGAGACGAGTTCCCATCGCACAACCCAAGAGAATGACATCGAAAACGGCGATAAACGCTACAATTCATCCAGAGACAAGTCCTACGATCGATTATACTACAATCTATCAAAAACGAGAAAGGAACCAGATTATGAATCATTCGAATCACCAGCCACCAAGTGTTCAAACGACGGACAACCAAACGTTTGCAACGCGAAAGCTCCCAATCACCCCACTCCAGAATCTGTGCTTCCAAACTCACGACAACAATATCAAACATTTGGAAACACGTCCTCGTTGAAGCTAGGTGTTAAAGATCTCAGCACCAGCGACTATCACCGTGAACCAACGATCCAAACAACCTCCCTCACAGTCGCGCCTAACCGCGAGGAGCGTTGCGTCGAGAGGATCATCGTTAACGAGGAGACTCTGAACAAAATAGTGGTACCTACCGCCAGTAACAGCTGCTCGGAGAAACTGGAAGGCCAGAAGTCCCAGTCACCTACCGACGTACCTGCATCCAAGAATCCCACAGCCCAGAACGATTACCGGTCGAGCCCCAGCCACGATCCACCAGCGACCGATCAAGAAACAAGCCCGAAAAAGCGATCCTCACCCACTAGGAACGTGTTCATCAAAACGAAACGAATGATATTCTCACCGTTTCGTAGAGCAGAAGATCATTCAGCCAGCAGACCCGAGAGCAGTTCCTCGGAGCATGATCAAGTGTACCCATTGAGAAACAAGAGCAAGTCCAGGTCGACGTCCCCAAAAATAAATCGCCAGGACGTGCTTCAGAGGATGTCTTTCTCTCTTCCTTGGCCCCTTCGACCCTCCTCCAAAGATCGCGACTTAAAGGAACCTAAAACCGATGAAACTATTAACGAAGAACGCCCAGGAATCGAGAACCAAGTCCTCCAGGGACGCAAATCTTCGGAAAATAAAAGGAAATCGTCCTCCAGTGAGAGCAACGTGTTCCAGCAGTCTCTAGCGGAGGAGGAGGAGGATCAACGGTTGACAAGTAGAGTGTCAGGTGTCGGTAGAGCGGAGGAAAAGGGTAGGTTTAAATATTCCCTGGGTCGAAAGGAACATCGAGTCAGCGTGTCCTTGGAGGTGGACCTGGAGGACCAGCAGAGCAGAGTGCCGTCCGCGGTTAGCTCTTCCAGCCTCAAACAGGATGAGAAGAACGATAATGCGTTAAGTTCAAGGTTCGATCCGCGTTCGCCTGACCTGATGCACAAACTGGAGATTTTGTCCAATGTGGTGGCTAGGAGAGACGGTAGAACTAACACCATTTCGGAAGAGTCAGGGTTGGAGTCTCATGCTCTGAGGATACGTCGCGCCAAAGAGGACTTCCTGTCTCGTCGAGGTGGACCTCTATGTCACTCCGTGATGGAAGCGTCTTCCAATGAGCAGGGGTTTCGAAAAACCTGTGGCAATCTTTATGAGAAGATTCTAGATGATCAGTTGAGGGATGGGAAGAACTATAAGTTGAAATTGGAGGAAATGGAATCCAATGGAAGTGAAACGAAAGAAGAAACGATGAAGGACAAAGATGGTGAGAAGTCTACCAGCGCAGGCTTCAATTCAACTACAAGCTCGATGAAATGCGCGACGAATTCTTCAACGGAATCATCAAGCAGTTATGAATTAAGTAACTAGAAATTTTATATTTCGTTTGGAATTTTGTTATTGATATTTAATAGATATCGATTTTTTGTATAGAATCAAAGTAATGTTGACAATTCTACATTCTTGTTTGATTTTTTAAAAGATTTTTGATAGACATCGATTATTTCATGCAATCGATTATGTTTCATTGTACACATGTATTAAATTATACTTCAGTGTTCAAATGAAATGAATTTTTTTTCTTACTATTATTATTGAAATTGATTATATTTCATTATATAAATTACGTAAATTCTATTTCATTACATAAATGAAATATATTATAGTAAATTGTATGTATATGAAATGATATTTCATTGCACATAAAACAGATTGTAATTATTTTATTCTATTAATGAAATTGGTTGCATTTCATTGTGTAAATGAAATAGATTGTATTACATTGTATACATGAAATAGATTATATTTTATTATATAAATGACCTAGGTTATATTTCATTACATGAATGAAATACAATATACTAAATTGTACATATGAAATAATATTTCATTGCACATATGGAATAAATTATATTTTATTCTGTTAATGAAATTGGTTATGTTTTACTGTGCCAATGAAATGGATTATATTACATTTCATAAATGAAAATTAGTATATTTTACTCTATTAATGAAACTGGTTGCATTTCATTGCCTAAATGAAATGGATTATATTATATTGTATATACGAAATTAATTATGTTTCATTACATAAATTACATAAATTCTATTTCATTACGTAAATGAAATGTATGTATAAAATGTACTATAGTAAATTGTATGTATACGAAATGATATTTCATTGCACATATGAAACAGATTGTAATTATTTTATTCTATTAATGAAATAGGTTGTATTTCATTGTATAAATACAATTTATTGTACATTCCAATATAAATGATATACATTATATTTCGTTACGTTAATAAAGGAGGGAGGACGAAGGAGGAAGGTGTTAGCTTGGCGAACGAGAACAACGTGAAGGAGCTGTCGAGGAGTTTGGCTGTCTCCCTACCTGATCGTGTGAAGTCTGCCAGTGCTGGGATGATCAACGTCGAGCCTGATATCTTTGAAGGACTCACGGACTCCAACAGAGGATGCGAGTCCCTTCCGAGAACCATTTCTAATCAACAGGAGTCCAAAGGGCCGCTCACGAAAATTGTAAACAAGTTCAAGTTCGTGCGGCTGATATGTGGCAAGGAGCAAGGGAACATGAGCACAGTTTCCAGACTTTGCAGACAAAGTTTGTTGATCGATGTTAGAAATGATTTCGAAAGGCGCTGGGAGGCTAATAATATTGCCGATGCTCCGAAGCTGAACAACGTGGACAGGGCTTCTAAAGAAGAGTAATTCTCATTACGTTTATCGTACGAATAAAATAGATAGATTTGTTTGTACCAGATGTTTGTTATAGCCTTTAACGATCCTACAGTATCGTAATAGTTCTATATGAAATACACATGAAATATCCGAAATATTCATATACAAAATACATATAGAGTGTCGAAATATTTATATAGGAAAAACGTATTCGAAGCATCGCGATATCTATCCGTGGAACACGTATGAAATACAAAAATATTTGTAATAACATCAACGATGAGAGAGAGAGACGAAGCAATGGAAGTATCATATTTTATTTTTAGAAACATTTACTCACAATACGTGTAAAGGTGTATTTAACTATTATACACAATATAGTTGATCTCGATAAATTTCACTCTCATTGTCAGTAATATTTATTATTGTAAAACATCCTGCCTTACTTGCAATTTTAAATTTCGAGTATTTCCCCCAGTGCTTCTCTTTTTTGAAGATTATTATATATTATTATGAAATTGAAATTTTGTTTAGTTCCTACTACTATAAGTAATAACTCTGTCAAATTTTAAATCATTTCATTAATTTTTACCGGAGATATAAAAAACAAAGTAACCCATTGAAATAATAACATGTATTTTCCATTTAAAACTTTCGAAGGTTTGGGTCACGTGTTAATGTTAACGCTTTTCTGTTCTTTTTAATTTGTTAATGTTAAAATTAAGAGCTTAAATTTTGCAGGAATTTTTGTATGTATTTGCATGGTATTTAGGAGGTTCGTAACATAGATTTAAAAAATCATTGAAATAAGGACTCCCTAATATAATATAGTAGATTCATTATTATTTAAAATGTCGAATAAATATTTTTACTTAAACTATAGTTACCATCGATTAAATATAAAGGCACAAAATTAATTTCTAAAAGAGCGTAGGACCTAAAATCGCCCTTATCGGTGCCCGGTCGTTTTCAATGTCTTTTTTTCGGTGAGAACGTTCTCCTTCTTAAAAACTCAAAGGTAGGCCTAAATATTCTGTTGAAGAATAAGGGTAAACAAGCGGAGGGTCGGTAGAAGTATAGCCGCTGTTTGATTAAATGAAATTAATGCCCCTGGGGTAGGTTCAAGTGGCGTGGAGAGAAGTAAGCTCGTGTCGCGCGTGTCGAACTCTGCCCCCCTTTCTTTTCCCTTTACCCCCTTTTTTAACTTTCCCATCCGGTTTTCTCTCAACCCCCCTGACCCACGTTGAGAACGACCCTCTACGACGTGGTTTCAAACCCGTGCAACCTCCTACAAACGCGAAAACCCTTCGATTACATTAAGCGGATTTCATTCGATCACGAAGCGGCCGAACAAACAAATCGGTTCAGCGAGCTTTCGTTTGGCGTACGATTGTGTGCCAGGGCTGCATTGTGCTGCCACGCCACTGGAGAATAGAAGGTAGGGTATACCTACAGAACACTCTTGATTTATAACGACGAGCTGGTGTCGGTCCAGATACTGAAATACGTATCCCTCGCGTTTTATAAAAGAAAATTCTTTTCCGTACCATCCTACTTCCTGGATGGCAATCCGAAATGATTCTCCTTTATAATAATTTCCCTTAAAGTAATTACAAAATTTATATTCTAATTTTAATGTTTAACGATGAGCTGGCGTTGGTCCTGATACTAGAACGTATATTCCCTCGTCTTTTAAAAGAAAACTCTTTCTCTTCCCATCCTACTGTCAACCTAAAATTATCCTCATTTTAGTAATTTCCCTTAAAGTAATTACAAAATTTATAAGTTTCTGATAAACATCGACTTTTTGGTACAGTTGTAAATATCTCAATGCACTGGAGTATTATTCGAATGAAATGATTGAGAAATACTTATTTATACATTATAATAAAAATTGAAATTTGTATTTTTTTATGATGCATCTATGAAAATGTAACCCACCGATTTGTGAGGTTTTCCTGGTGAAAATGAGTCCAAACACGACATCATTCGGATTATTTTTAATTATACATAATAGTACGTGTTCTTTTTTTTAATTCCAATTTTTAAAAATCCGAATAAAATCGTGCTTGAACACATTTTCGATGGAAAATCCTCGCCAATCCATTGATAGTGCTTTCATAAAGATTCACGCTCACTGATATAAATAAATTGATTAAAATTTGTATTTTTTTCTTGATAATTTAATGAAAGCTCTTCGTTAATTGATAACTCTACTTCAAGCGAAGGGCCATATGACAAATCGATCAGTGCACAGTTGAAACAAAAAAATTGTATTATGATTTTCAAATAACCTAGAAAAGAGGAATCGAATTTGAAAGAATCACGAACATGAGCGTAACCCATCCGATAGTTTTTCTCTTATTCTATTCGTTGCGATCACAGGTATGGGGATCCCTTACCAATTCATGAGCTCGACGTCGAGCTCGCAGGATCATCAAATCCCTCACAATGGGCGGTCGTGTTTTTCGTTGCGTTCGCCAGGATCGACCACACCTTCTACCTGCGTTTATAATCCGGAAGCACTCGCTAGACCACGCATCGGGGCTTGAAACATTTAAAAAGATACCATATCCACATACAAGGAAGGTTTCACCGTGACCTTCATTCATAACACCCGTTCTTTGTAGATTTCTCGTAGACCACCTTGTAGAGTAAAGGAAACCCGGTTAGTGAAGAATTATTTATTATTGATTCATTGTTACATTTATGATGGATGATAATAAATAAAATTCTGAATATTAGTGCTTCATTTCAATCATTTTTATAGGAGGAAGGTTTACAGAATAAGTTTTACAGAATAAAAATTAGTGTTAAATATTTAGTTTTGAACTTTTGATACTTATATGAAGTCTAATTCATACACCATGCAGTAATATTGCAGTAATATTGCAGCAATATTGCCACAATTTTAATTGGCTATATTTACTTTTCTTTATAACTGCCTCTTTCTGCTATGCATCCTTCCAATGGATTTTTAAAGTCGATAGTGAAAAATCGAGCTTTTGTGTCTTTACCTACTTGTACAAAGAATTTGTTAAGCCTCTATCGGTTTCAAATGCGACTTCCACTCTTTGCTAGAATCAAAGGAATTTGTTACACTGTTATTAAAAACAGAAAATAATATCAATTAAAGGCTGAATTAATATAGGATATGTTCGTACCTAGAACGATTTCATGTTCACATGTTTTCCTTAAATCTAAGAAAAAGTTGCAAAAAATGATACAATTCATACATACAAGAAAGCATTGCGAAAATAGTAAAAATACTGAAAATTGTACTAAAAGTTCGTGTAGGTGCAAAGTTGGACAAATATATTTAATTCATGCACTTAGGACAAAGTCGCAAAGTATTGTAAATGCATCTAGGAAAATGATTCTAAAAGCATTTAGATTCACATACGAGCGACTAAATTACAAAACTGTTGAACTCACATTTACTGATGGTGCTTTCATAAGGATACACTCACGAATATGAAATATTTTGAAAATAGTAAAAATAGGGAAACTCGTGAACGTAGATTAGAGATTGTGAGAATATAAAAATTCATGCAGGTGTAAAGTTAGAAAAATACATTTAATTCATGCACGTAGAACATAGCCGCAAAATGTTGAAAATAATTCAAAAGGATTTAGATTCACACACGAGCGACTAAATTACAAAACTGTTGAACTCACTGTTAATCTATTCATAGTACTTTCATAAGGATACACTCACGAATACAAAATATTGTAAAAATAATAAAAATATGGAGATTCATGCAGGTAGATTAGAGATTGTGAAAATATAAAAATTCATGCAGGTGCAAAGTTAGAAAAATACATTTAATTCATGCACATGGAACGAAGTCGTAAAAAGAAGTTATAAAACTGTTGAACTGCATGGCCAGAGCGAAATGTTATAAAGAAATTAACCTTCGCTCTTCCACGTTCTCCTCTTGCAGACTTCCTACTCCCATTTCCCAGATTCGATTACCAAAAGTGCATTGTCTCCCCACTGGCTCGATAATCGCCGTTCCGGCGCAGTTTGTTTCGTATGTTAATCGGGATCATGTCGCATTGTCAACTTTCATATTTATTTGTCTCGACTCATCGAGTTTCTTCACCGGTGTGCCCCCGTCGGGTTTCAGCGACATGTCAATTGAAATGTAAGCACGTATCAAAATTCGAGCGCGATGGGGAGGAAGACCCGGGCTATTTAATGGGATTCGCTACGCTGGAATTATCCAAGTGTGGACCGGTGCACATAAATCAATCGTGTTTCGTCAAACGGCAGTCGGGCTCGACTCACGCGACAAACTAGCGCAAAAATTCAACCGGTCAATTTGAAAGTTGCCGCTTGTATGATTTATTCAGCAGCCGTCCCGTTTGGACTGCACAAAAATATTCAACGGTTCCCAAAACGTCGGGAGAAACGAGCACGCGAAGTCAGAAGTCGAGGAAGGGGGGATTAATGACAAGGTCAGACTTTGTTCGGAAATCACTATATAGAATGAAAAAATACAGTAATTTGAAGAACCAGATCAATCATAAATGAAGTGTATTTTATTTTTCATGTCGACAATAAAACTCTAATACGATACTTGTATCATACATTATCACTAGACTGCGGATCATCACGCATTTATAGGAGATTTGAATCTGCAACAAACTATAAAATGCACGCAACACGCGTGTATATAAAAAACAATTGAAACTAAAGTTCATATTATAATATTTGCAAAGTAAAATAAATTCCTATTTAGGTTTAATTTTTGTAGGTACGTTTACAAAGATTTTATTTTGCATGAAGATCCACAGTCTAACTATTATATTCGTATCTGTGATTTCTCGTAAACCACCTTCCAGAGTAAAGGAAACACAATTAGCGAAATTATTTATTATTAATTCATTGTTACGTTTATGATAAATGGTGATAAATAAAATTCTTCTTATGCATATTAATGCTTAATTCAATTGATACATTCGGGCTCGAATAAATAAAATAGAGTATGTTCCATCATAAAAATTGGTACATCTATGTGCCAATCAAATTCTAGTTTACTAGATCCACCACCCAAGTATTATTGTATTATTCTTCCTAAACTAAAAATCGAATTCTAAAATATGGGTTTGCTTAGAATCCGTCTGAAGTATTTTATCGCTAAGTCTACACACAGAGTGAACAAATACTTACAGTAATTTACAGAACCATGACAATTGTAACTAGAGTGTATCGTATCTTCCATATCGACAATCAAATTCTCGCACGATACCTGTATTATTCATTATTATATTCCTATCTATATTTTTGCTACATCCACTAAGCAGTCGTTATTATTCTTAAAAATATGAATGTGTTTAGAATCCGTCTGAAGTATTTTATTGGTAAGTGTACACATTGCTAACGAGCTCACCGAT